GGAAAAGGTCACCAAGTGCTGCGACCCAGGTCACATTGTGACCTCGGGTCGCAACTGGATATTGAAGAAGAATGGGACATTTGTTCTATTTTTATTGGACAAGTGTATTTTTTTGTATCTAAAAAAAATAAAAAATAAAAAGTACAAGAATTCATATTTTTTTTATTTACTACATATAGAGACCACGCTTGATATATTTTAAAACACAATTGCAATTTTTAAATAAATCAAAATAAAATAAATATTTAGGTTGAGTTTGGGTTGGGATAAAGATAAATTAAGTTGGAAAATTGAGTTGTGCATGTGGAGGGGAGGGAAATAAATTTTAATTATTAGGTTAGGTTGGAAATAAAGATAGTCTAATATAATTTTATTGTTTATCGTTGACCAAAAAAAAAAAAAAAAATCTCGATATGGGCTCCCTACCTAACCTACAGCCCTCCCACCAAAGACATGAAACAGTACTTAAGCTGCTACTTAGAACTTAAAACCGACCATTAGCATTTCTCATAATTACGCAGCATAGTTTGAAGCTCTGCCGGTTCTCACAAAGTACAGCAGTCACATACTTTATGGGGGAATAATTTTGGTTAATCAGTGTTTCAAAAGAGATTCTGAAAAAGTACATCCTAAATTATTATGCTACTGTTTATTTTACCATCGCAAAAACTCTCAACCGACAGGCGCAACAAGTGGCTCGGGCTGAGGCACGACCTCAGGCCCGGCAAGCCCATTGGGCTGGTGCCTGTCCAAGCCCCATAGCTTGGCGAATTTCACGTCATCTTGGGCCATCTGCCTAGAGAACTTCACATGGTCATATTCCAATGTGGCCTTGTGTAGCGCCACATTTGTTCCGGAATAATTGGATATTATTATTTGGCAATTATTTTATTTTCCAAATTAATTATTCGGGTTCGATAAATTTATTTCGATTATATGCTCGTAATTGCTAATTATAGTAATTTTAAAATCGAGCCGAATAGTATTATTATTTATTTTATTTTCGGTAAAACTGAAAATTTTAAATAACCGGGACTTCGAACCGAACGAGTATCTTTGTTGAAATATCAAACCGGGTGGCCGAAAACCGCTCATTTTTCCTCCCAGCCCGGCTCGCACCCGCGTGAGAAAAACCAAACCCGACACCCTTCTCTCCCTCTCTTGCATGCATAGTCATGTTTATTTTGAATTTTTGAATTTAAATGTGGAACATTATCCCACATTTTCAGCCCTTAAATCCCTCCTTTGACCATGGATTGGAGGTTACAAATTGATGCTATTAAAGAGAGAATAATCTCTCTTTTCATTCCCCTCATTCTTCCCCCACTCCCTCTCTCACATTCATCTCTCCTCCTCCCTCACCTTTCACTCTCAACCTCAGCATCACTCTCTCTTTTCTCACTTCTTGTTTGGCGGAAATCCCCTCCTCCCCCCCTGCCCAAGCTTGTCGCCTCGCCGCACGCCCCGCTGCCACCACGCGAAGCCGCTGCGAGCCACCTCCGTCAACCTCAACGCGACAACGACTTTCGGCCGTCGTCCTCTCCCTCCGACCAGCCTCCGCCGCCTCTGGTCGTCACCTCCGTTGAGCGAGCTGCCGTTAGACGCCGAGCGAGCCAAACGGACGATCTTCCCTACCCATTAGGACTTGGTCGTCGTCGAGCCCTTCAGAAACCGAACCCGTCTTCTCTCCCCTTTGGTGTTTGGTAAATTTATTTTACTAAACTTCATATTCTTTGTGATAATATATTATCTTTTCTAGAATTATATTTTAAGATGTTTAAATGAGATTATTTAGATTAAGTGTTATTCAAACAATCATTTCAGGTGAAAATGCACTTTTTCGCCGTTCTGTTGTGCTTCGGTTTAGGCTATCAGAGACTGATTATTTGAAATTATGATCTTCATGTGAAATGTAGTATGTTCAGTTTGATATATCTGGGATTTGGCATTTCTTGATTCCGAGTTATATCGAATAAGTTATGATTTTTACAAGAATTTTGTGCGTTCAGTTTTTCCTGTTACCCGGCAACATAGTTATATTTAATGTGTGTCCTGTTTATCATGTCTTAATGTACTCGTATGAATTTATGCTCTTCATGAGAGTTGTATTTTTGTTTCTTATCTTTCAAATGAGATGAATTTCATATTGATATGTACTCTGTAGCTCGAGTTGTGTTCTTATGAAGTTAAACATGCATGAGGTAGGACTTGTTATTTTGGCAGAAACCTGATGTTAAATACTAACTGATTTTACCCTATCCAAATTATCTATTATGCTTCTGTGTTCTAAATGAAAGTTGTAGAGGCATGCTTTAGGTTTAATTTGAGAATTGAACCATATCATTTGGAGGTCTATAGCTCGAGTTAAGTTATACAATATGAGGTATTGTCCATATCACATGTTAGTTTTTGACAGGTTTGCTGAATCAAATGTTTTGTTTTTAAACTCGTTGATAATGTGATTATTTGCCAATATGACCTTCATCAAAGTTGTAGAAATTTGAGATATCTATCATGTGGTTTTTGAATATCATTGAAAGCATGTCTGTAGCTCCAGTTAGCTAGCAATTACTGAGGTCTGGTCAATTCCTTTTTCCCTGTCTTGGACTGTGACTCAATTTGAATGTTTACTGAGTTATCACCTGTTAAATGGCCTTATTTGCTTTCAATGTCTTCATGAGAATTGTAGATATACGTCTTAGGGTTCTAATGGAATTTGATTCATGTTTATATGAGTTATGTGCTAATAGTTATGTCGGTTTTAAAAAAACGCTGCCTGGGTTAAGTTTTCAAAACTTATGTGATATTTTCGAAAATGTGATTTCCTTGATTTCATGCATGCTTAAATGCTTACGTGAACTTAGTTGGACTAAGTAGTTGCCGAATAGTCTTTGATAGGGCTATTTTATTAAATGTAGGTGCTTGACGAGTCGAGCTCGCCGCCTACCCTTATATTTTGTGTTTATCTCGATTATTACCAGGTGGGTTCATTATGTTGAATCTACATTTATCGCACTCGTTATTTTGTATAAATATTTGTTGCGATAGCTTTTGTATGCGTGAAAACCCTAGTCTAAGTGTCCTGACGGTAGTGCCTTTGACGAATGCATAATCAGTGGAGGTCACCTGCCCGTTGCATCCGGGAGGTGGACGCCCGAATCCGTGTAGAGCAGAGGGGAATGTCTGAACGCCCGAATCCGTGTAGAGTGGAGGGGTAATTCAACTCCATTGTCTCCTGGATAAGATCCTATGCCTGTTGCATCCGGGGTGGGAGTGTTTCCAGTTACATCTTCGCCGATGTCTGGTCGAGAGGTTTGTTGTATGTACGTAGGAGGTTTGCGATAGGGCCTAATAGGGAGTTAGATCTGGATTCTATGCATACATTTTTTGTAGTTACAAAACTTTATGCGAAATATATTGTGCGGTCATGGTGAGTATGATGGTTGTACTCACCCCCATTTGCTTTCCTGTCGTCTTGTTCCTCTTCCTATCTTTTTAGGTTGAGCATGGTTGGCGGCGGCAGCGAGAGACGATCGAGTGGTGGTCGTTGGAATTATTTGCCTTTGCTTTCGCTATTGCTATCTTGATGAACCTTGTGTTTACTTTAAATAATTATGCTTCTGTTCCATTTATGAATATGTTGGATGAACTGTTTTGGACCATGATGAACCATTTGGTATGTCTTGTGACTTGAGTTGTTTGGTTTGAATTTTTATAACTGTTAGTTTTATTCATATGTAGGTCCTTTTTATCTGTTTTAAATTGTTTATTTGTTTGGTAGTTAAGCAGCGCCCGTTGATTATTAAAGTTTTAAATTGAGATTTTGCGAAAAATAAACTCTGATTTTTATAAATAAATTTGGTAAATTCCTTAAAATAAAACGGGGGTTACACCTTACCCCCGAATTCAGTCGGGAGATTCTCCGTGTCAAAATACGATCTCATCAGCTCCACACTCTCCTCCTTCTTTGGGTACACGAATTTCACCTTCTCAAAGGTTTTCGGGTCCACAAAGTACTTCACCACCTGCAATATGGATTTTAGATTATATCGACACGCAAAAAAGAAAAACTTGCACGCCAGATTATAGTTGTCAATTTTATATATAGCCCCATGTAATTTTTTGTTTAGCCCCATCTAATTTCGGGCTGGATATCTCAAGATTCAGGTCAAATTTATTCATTTGACAACAATGGTGGATAAGTGATGATCGTAGTAAGAGGGAATGAGACAATCCTTTATTGTCAAATGACAGTTATGCTATTATTACATTTTTATCAATTAAGTTTATAATGTGGCTCAACACTCTAATGCCTTTTAAATTCTTAATGAGTTGATTTGACAAGTACCAAATGAGTTGGATAATTAAGCTTGACGCACACTTCTCCTGCGGGTTATTTTGGGTTTGTCTCATTGTACAGTTTATTAACAAGTTTCGTTCGATTTTTGTTGAATTCGCCTCCAATAATTAATTTGGCCTCATTTCGTAAATATAAATAAAAAAAAAAAAAAAAGCCTCTTACAGAGTTGATTGCAAGCATGTTCGACTCTAGTTCTTTGATCAACAAGTTCGATTAGCTATTTGAGTTTGACTTGTTTAAATGTATACACGAGTCAAGATTGAGTTATCACAATTCGAACCGAAATATGTTAATATATATTCGGTTCTAGTCATGGCAAAACCAGTTCCGGGTTGAAATCGCCAACCGAAACATATGCACTGGCCGGTTCATTGAGTTGTCGGTTCTTGGTCGCCCCTCTCATTAAAAGAAATAAATATAATTAAAAAATATTTTTTTAAAAAAAAATAGTTGAACCTCTGGTTCCAGTTCCAGTTCGAAACCGAAACTGCCGATTCGAAATGCATAAACTATAAAATATTGAACATGAACTGGACTGGTCAAAATCAAGGGCCGGTTCAAGACCCATGGTCAACGGGCCGAACTGGCGGGCCGACCTGGCCCATGACCATGTCTACTCGGTTTCAATAATAGCTATAATAATAAATAACCCCAGGTTAAAAATTTTGTTGGCTACGCCCCTGCAATTAGTTTTGATGTTTAGTGTTGAGCACCCAACAAAAATCTTTTTATGGTGATGGAGTGCCTACGGTGTGCGAGCAGAAAACTACATCTCAATGGTGAAAGCTTTTAACGAATTTGTAGGGAATTTGTATGATCTCGTAATTACCTGATTTGATTATATTGTCAATTTATCCAAAAATTACATAACCATATTTACAGTTATGGTGTAAATATATTTTTTTATCTGATTTGATTTGATATTGCCAACTTTTAACAATGTTTTCAATTTTGAATAAGTGCAAATGTAATCACGATATGAGATTCATAGTCAAATGGATTTTGCAGGCGCGCGGGGATAATTCAAATAAATTTAAAAAACCAATTGAATATGGTTTGAATTTAAAAATCAAAGAACATAATTTGATACCAAAAAATATGGGTACCATTTTTAATGTATATTTGTCCAAATCTTATTTTTTAGAAAAAGAATGAAAAATGCATGTGGTTTAAAATAAATCTTTTAATGGAAAGTCAACCCATTTTTTTCTTTAATCAAAGTTTCTATTAAAGTATTTTTCCAACAACTTTTTGTATATTAGATAATCAACAACTTTTTTTTATATTAGTATAGGTTATCAGGCATTATTATTGGAGAATACTACATTTCGATAGAATTTGTACTAGTCAAAACTCGTGACGCGTGAATTTTAAATTAAATATTTGAAGAAAAATCATATTTACGAAATAGACTTATATATGTAATCTTACTTAAAATATAAATCTAAGAAATAAAATAATTTTATAAATTCATTATTTTCCCCATCTTATTGGTCATTGTCCTCCTACTGCCACTGTCCATCGACCGATGCTTCCGGCTACCGCCCTCTGACGGTTGTCCTCCTACTGCCACTGCCCATCGATCGATGCTTCTGGCTACTGCCCTCTGACGGATTTAATAAAATCACGCATTATAGTTTTAATATCTAGATTATCATCTTTGATCCGACCATCCCCCTTAATATAATTTCAAAACGTGCTGAGCCTAAATGGCGGGCTCGCACGCTTTGGAAGCTTACTTGGCAACATTACATGCTTCGGCTTTGGTTCGGATAAAAATTAATACAATTATATTCCAAAATAAATAGGTTCGGAAATAAAATACTTAATAAATAGGATTTGTTTCTTAATCCGATCCCCTCCAACTCCAAAATAAATAGGATTCTTATCTTATATGCCGTGTAAATAAGGTTTTTTGCTTAATATTATAATATTATAAAGTATTTAATAAATAAGATTTTTGCTTAATCCGATCCCCTCCAACTCTAAAATTAATAGGATTCTTATCTTATATGGCATGTAAATAGGAATTTTTGCTTAACCTTTGCCCCCAAAACAAATCGGATTGCTTTTTCAATATTTTGGTCTTCCCCTTCACGCCGGTAAGGCCGCAGCCTCTCGCTCGCCTCCCTCCGTCATCTTCCATTCGGCCTGCCTCCATCGTCTGCCACTCGGTCCGCCTCTGTCATCGGTCCGCCTCCGTCGTTGGCCTGTCTACGTTCGTCACTTTTAACTTTTGAAGGTAAATAAATTACTTGATTTTTAATTTTGGTTTGTTGAATTTGATTTTTCCTTTTTTTTTTCTTCTTACTATATATGGCGGCTTAATGCTCCAAGTCACTGATGAATTATAGCTTTTATTTTGTGAATTTGCCACTTTTTAAGTGAATTCATTTTTTCATGGGTTTTCAAAAGTTAAAGTCATCTCTTTTGTTTGATTAATTCGTTTTACGGAATTTTTAACTTTTGTTTGGTGAAAACATCTTTTATATTAACTTAATAATATATTAGATTCTTACAGAATTTGCAGGAAATTCCTTTTTTTTGGAGGGAGAAAAATTTGAGTATTTTTCTCGGGCCAGCGGTCGGCTTCAACTCCATGATTTGAGGATTTCACTTCATCTGGAAGGTGATTGATCAATGCCCTTTTCCTGAATTATTTTTCGCTCTTTATTTTTTCGATTTTCAAATGGATCCGTGGAAAATTGTCGGTCGTGTTCTATTTTTGCCTCTTCGTGTTGTAGTTTTCCAATTACGGTAACTGTATTTAGGGGTTGAATGATGGGTTTCTGATTTTCAGTTTTTGGGTCTGCCCATGTATCTATTTACTGTTTGTTTGTTTGTTTGAGGTCGTGATTTGTTCTTTGCACTTTTGTGTAGGGAACTGAAAATGGGACAGGATAAGTTTTTGTTGGTCACGGATTTGATAGCCGTATCTGTAAGTGCAGTTTGTGATGCTGTTAAGGGGTTGAAGGAAGGAGTTGAAAATTTTGATCCCCTTGTCATTATTCAAGCTTCGTCCCAAAGTAATTCTTCTATCAGTTCTTTAATATATGTAGAAATATGCTTTGTTTTATAGTAATTGGATCGTGTGGACTTGATAGAGATGGTTTTTATTTGCGTTGATAATAAATAGGATTTTTTCTTAATCCAATCCCCTCTAACTCCAAAATAAATAGAATTCTTCTATGCAGTGTAAATAGGATCCCCTATTAATGTTGTGTACAAAGAAATTTTTTAAAATTTGAAATATTATCGACTTTGGTATTCTATTTTTGCACTTTTATATGACAACATGTGTTTTTTCTATTATTTTATGTTTTATATTTTCTTTTTCAAACAACCCGTGTAGTATACAAGTGTCGTACTAGTTGAATTTGTATTTAAAAAAATATGCTTGTAATTTATTTTTCTCAAAAATCTATTGTAGTATCAAACTATCCGTTAGAGTTCTCAATCTCCAACAATAGATCAATGATTTTTTGATGGTTTTTTCTATGCGCTAATGTGAGTTTGAGACTTCAACTGTTAATTTTCGTTCACTCGGACGTCCAAAATTAATACATGTGCTTTTATTATTATTATTTTTTCTACATTAGCTACAAAAGTCCTTAATCAGTCTTATGTTTTTGAGTNAGGTCAATTTTGCAATTTTTGGCAGCTTTAGTGAAACTTTTTTCGACGCATTTGTCATGTTAGAATGAATTTCATATTTCATTTCTTTTTAGTTTAAATTTAATACACATTATATTATAGTAAGGTATACCATATCCATATAATTGTATATTTCTTAAATATTCTTTTCTATTTTTATTATTTGTCATTTTGAGAAGTAACACGCTAATTAAAAAAAAATTCTTGCCAACATTAACACTATTTAATGGACGTTGGGAAACAATGGAGATGGAATATGAAGAGACACAGTGTATTAAATGTGGGGTTAAAAATGGAAAAATATGAGCAAAATAGCTAAAACGACATTTATTTAATCAATGATCAATTAAGCCAGAATGACAAATAATAAAAATAGGAGGGAGTATAGTTTAATAGTACAAACAAATATACATTTAGTACAAATGTATTTTTGTGTTTGTGCATTTATGCCTAAAATAATGGTTAATATTGTAGGGATTAGTTCCAATGCATCCACTTATTTAAAATGAGGACGTGAGACTCATTTTTAGCCACAAGATTTGGTACATCATGTGTGGCCAATATTTACTCTTTTCTTTTTATTATTCTAAATATTATTTTGACCCGTTGACTTCCAGCGTTGACCGTTGATTTCTGGCGTTGACTTCCGTCGAAATCCGTTGACTTTCGGCGTTGACCGTTGACAACTAACCTTCTAACTAGGTTAGTTTTATGTAGTTGTTAGGCTAGTTCTCTGTAGTTGCTAGGTTAGTTGTCTGTAGTTGCTAGGTTAGTTGTCTCTAGTTGCTAGGTTAGTTCTCTGTAGTTGTTAGCTAGGTTAGTTCTCTGTAGTTGCTAGGTTAGTTCTCTGTAGTTGTTAAGTTAGTTCTCTGTAGTTGCTAAGTTAGTAGTTGCTAGGTTAGTTATCTGTAGTTGCTAGGTTAGTAGTAGCTAGGTTAGTTCTCTGTAGTTGTTAGGTTAGTTGTCTGTAGTTGCTAAGAGTTGTCCGCATTTTAAGAGCTGAGCGCATTTTAAGAACTGACCGCATTTGATCCGTCCTTAATGTATTTCAACAATTTCTAAATTCATGCGGGATCAAGTTGTTTGGTCGTAGGTATCCCTATTGTTTCTCTTGGAGCAAAATAAATAATTTGTCGAATAAAACTCGGGGGAAGGATTTTGATGACGCATTGACGTGGTGGGACGTACATTTTATTTTGTTGTTCAAACTTCACAAGGGGTTGTGTTACTTGTGTATCGTCAGCAATCAGCAATAGATCACATCCTTATATTTAGAATATTTAGGTGCTTGTGAATCGTGAACAGGTCGAAATAAAATCAGGTGTAGAAGTTGACCGTTAAGCGTGTATTATCAAGTGTGTGCGTATTATTATTTGATAATTAAATCAGGGGTACGTACGAATATACACAATAAAAAATAATAATATATAAATTCCTAAAGGAATCTCACGTGGAAAAACGGTGGTTTTCTTAATTATGTATAATGTTCATATCTATTCGCATGTCCTTTTTGCCAATTATGTATATAATGTTCATATCTATTCACATGTTCTTTTCTTTTTCTTTTTTTTTTTTCGTTTTCATTTTATTTCAATTTCAATACGCCTATAAAAAGCAAGTCAGCTATATATCTATTTGTTGTACTCCCCAAATCATATTCACAATTTGGCTACAAGAAAAGGAAACTCATTGATTAAAATATTATTTTGTCAGTAGTCTTAATGTACAAGAGACTTTAAGACTCCACTTGAATATTATAAAACTTTTGTTGAATATTGTACAATTTTCTTGCGTATTATAGACTTTTATTGAATATTATATCTTATAATATAATATTCTCCAAATAAATATATCTCGTGCTTCACATGAATCACGTACTATATATATCCCGTACATTTTTGTTTATTCATGTATATAATTATAAGCCTGGATAAATAAACTTAAAATTGTGCATCCCGTGCATCGCACGGGCTCTGTACTAGTATATATAATAAGAATAAATATTAACTAAAAATAGTAGTAAATAATTATAGGAGCATTAAATGCACAATTTTTTTTTTGAAACATTTTAAATATATGCATTAATTGTCTCCATATACACGTTTTTAAATAAGATCAAATCAGATATGATCCAACATATTGTTTCCTTATAAATTTCTATTATATAAATTACAAGATTGATTTTTCATGATTCACGTTGATAATATTTTGATCAAGATAAATATTACCACATATTTTAAGTTCTAACCATAATATTAATTTTTTCACAAATATTCACATTTTATCTAAAAATATTTATAGAAAATCGTAACATGTTAGGTAGAATTTTTTATTCCAATTAATCAGGAGAAATGAAGTTGATGAATTAATCTTTCCCAATATAATTTTTTCTTAAGATTTATTTTGTTATATATAAAAAATAAATTATTCTTTAAATTAATATAATTTACCATTTAAGAGAAAATGATCAGATATATTAAATAGTTTTACTAATGGTTAAAAATTAAAATTAAAATTGAAATATATTAATTGTTTTTTAGAATTTATTTGTATATTATTAGCAATCATGATTATTTTTTTATCATTTTTTTACTTTGATTTCTTTCTATAATGAAATTACTGTACAATATATTTTCATTGTAGAGTATGCTAAATAAACTATAAATTCTTATAATGCCAATTAGAAAAATCTTGATTATAGAAAGGATTGTATTTTTGGCATTTGCTAAATCAAAGTTCTTTAATAAGTATTCAAAGATAAATTCTAAAAAAACATGTGTGTATATTTTGTAAAATATTTATATCCTATTTAATTTTAAATTTATTTACATATTTTAAATTGGTTACATAAATAAATAATACTTACGTGCATTAAGTATTTTTCATTACATAAAATAAAAAAGATAAAAAAAGACGTAGAACTTCTATAACTTTGTAAATAATAATGATATTATATGACAAAAAAGTTTATTATAAAATAATTATACGGTGAACAAGAATAAATAGAGCTGTTATTTTTCTTGTATCAAGGAATAAATATATATACTAAAATCAAATTTATATTAGTATAAATGTGTTAATGAGATAATATATTAATTATTTTACAAGCTAGTCCTAGCATTTTCATTTTTAATGTCCTGACTAAAAAAACTATGCTGATTACAAGAGGTAAAAAATAGATTATAACTCAATTGTTTTTTAGACTTAACGTTCATTAAAATAGGTCAAAAATATATAATAACCGTATTGCTTTTTAGACTTATATATATGGATATAGACTGTGAAAATAACTCGATAATATATTGTCTCGTGCATCGCACGGGGTACGTACTAATATACACGATGAAAAATAATAAGCTATAAATTCCTAAAGGAATCTCACGTGGAAAAACGGTGGTTTTTTTAATTATATATAATGTTCATATCTATTCGCAAGTCCTTTTTGCCAATTATGTATATAATGTTCATATCTATTCACATGTTCTTTTCTTTTTTTTTTTTTTCGTTTTCATTTTATTTCAATTTCAATACGCCTATAAATTGCCACCATTACCATATCAGTTTTTCTTCACATATATTCTACAATGATGATGCCAAACAAAGCCATTACTGTTTTTTTCATTGTTATCTTGGCATTTTCATTCTTATTTGTAACATCTAATCAAGTAGATGCCCGCAAACTCCCACCATCAACCATCAAGCATCACATGGACAATAACCATCTTGATCATGTAATTAAACGGTTATTAGGAAGCCGTAGTGGTTCATCCCCACCAGCGCCTCGTGGGAACATTCACCCCTAAGTGGGTCGTATACTCTTGTTTGATATGTCGTTATGATGCTCGTTAATACGTCTAGCTGGAATTATAATTAAGGGTCTATATTCCCAAGTTTTATAGCTCAAGTTGTACTATTTCATCTTTTTTTTATGGGAATTGAATTTCTCTTGTGTTTGGTGGCTTGAGACTTGGTGTACCAAGTTTTATAGCTCAAGTTGTGCTATTTTATCTTTTCTTTATGGGAATTGATCTTTCTCTTGTGTTTGGTGGCATGAGACTTGGTGTATTTATAAGGCTACAATAGATACCCTAAAGAGGAGTTAAAGGCAAAATTTCAAAATTGGTCCTATAACTTGACCATTGTCCAAAAAACCACCCTGATATTGACCACTTTCAATTTAGGTCCTATAATTTGTCGGTTTCATCAATTTTGGCCCTTTTTTATCCGCCCCTGGATTACAAAGTGACGTGGCATGATGTGTCAGTTTTTCAATGTTACATGGCGTGATTATGATCTACGTGGCACGTCAATTTTGGTCCTATAATTTGTCGATTTCATCAATTTTGGTCCTTTTTTCATGCCACGTCACTTTTTAATCCAGGGTGCGGATAAAAAAGGACCAAAATTGATGAAATCGACAAATTATAGGATCTAAATTGAAAGTGGTTAATCTCGGGGTGGTTTTTTGGACAGTGGCCAAATTATAGGACCAATTTTGAAATTTTCCCAGGAGTTAAATATAGGTTTAACAAGCATGAGCCCAACTGTGGACCAAACTCACTCCACTCAATACTCGACTAATAAATCATTCCTCTAGAGAAATATTATTGAACTCCAAATTACAATTAATTTATTTCCCTATTTATTGCTCGATTATATCCCTATATCTAAGATTTAATATTCGTTGATTAATTTAAATTACTGACAATAAAATTATTCAACTTCTCAAATCCGAAACTAGTACAACTCAATTCTATATTATTATGTCGGAAATCAATCCTTTGATCGGACTTGATATTATAATCCTTCTTGAACTTTAGAAATGTTGGTAGAGCAAGAGTGAGACAGAATAGTCTTATGTCTTGGCAACAAACACCTGGTTCACTTTAACAAATGGCTGAATTCTGGGACTGCACGGGATGTTTTATCTATTGATATTTTTACTCTTGCAGGTTCCTTTATTTCTTGCAGTTTTTCTTATTTGGTTTAGTTGGTGTGTGTGGACTTTTGTTAGGGTGTGTTGTGTGAGTATGCCCTAATGGTTGTGGAAGGGGCTCATGTGAGTGTTTCTTGTTGCTTAGTTCCGACTGTATTGTTGGGTACTTTGCGGGTACCTTATATGGTATGCGGTTTATATAAATTTTGTCCTTTGTTTGAGGTAAGACTACTTTTATTGGTGATCCAATAAGTGGGTCACGGGAATTATATATTTTAAAACACAATTGCAATTTTTAAATAAATCAAAACAAAATAAATATATAGGTTGAGTTTGGGTTGGGATAAAGATAAATTAAGTTGGAAAATTAAGTTGTGCATGTGGAGAGGAGAGAAATAAATTTTAATTATTAGGTTGGGTTAAAAATAAAGATAGTCTAATATAATTTTATTGTTTACCAAAAAAAAAAAAAAAATTCTCGATATGGGCTCCCTAGTTAACCTATAGCCCTCCCACCAAAGACATGAAACAGTACTTCAGCTGCTACTTAGAACTTAAAACCGACCATTAGCATTTCTCATAATTACGCAGCATAGTTTGAAGCTCTGCCGGTTCTCACAAAGTACAACAGTCACATACTTTATGGGGGAACAATTTTGGTTAATCAGTGTTTCAAAAGAGATTCTGAGAAAGTACATCCCATTGGGCTGGTGCCTGTCCAAGCCCCATAGCTTGGCGAATTTCACGTCATCTTGGGCCATCTGCATAGAGAACTTCACATGGTCAAATTCCAATGTGGCCTTGTGTAGCGCCCCATTTGTTCCGGAATAATTGGATATTATTATTTGACAATTATTTTATTTTTTGAATTAATTATTCGGGTTCGATAATTTTATTTCGATTATATGCTCGTAATTGTTAATTGTAGTAATTTTAAAATCGAGCCGAATAGTATTATTATTTATTTTATTTTCGGTCGAACTGAAAATTTTAAATAACCGGGACTTCGAACCGAATGAGTATCTTTGTGGAAATCAAACCGGGCAGCCAAAAACCACCCATTTTTCCTCCCAGCCCGGCCCGCTCGCACGCCCAGCTCACCGGTTCGAACCGGCCCGCACCCGCGTGAGAAAAACCGAACCCGACACCCTTCTCTCCCTCTCTTGCATGCATGTTTATTTTGAATTTTTGAATTTAAATGTGGAACCTTATCCCACATTTTTAGCCCTTAAATCCCTCCTTTGACCATGGATTGGAGGTTACAAATTGATGCCATTAAAGAGAGAATAATCTCTCTTTTCATTCCCCTCATTCTTCCCCCACTCCCTCTCTCACGTTCATCTCTCCTCCTCCCTCACCTTTCACTCTCAACCTCAGCATCTCTCTCTCTTTTCTCACTTCTTGTTTGGCGGAAATCCCCTCCTCCCCCCCTGCCCAAGCTTGTCGCCTCGCCGCACGCCCCGCTGCCACCACGCGAAGTTGCCGCGAGCCACCTCCGTCAACCTCAACGCGACAACGACGTTCGGCCGTCGTCCTCTCCCTCCGACCAGCTTCCACCGCCTCTGGTCGTCACCTCCATCGAGCGAGCCGCCGTTAGACGCCAAGCGAGCCAAGCGGACGATCTTCCCTGCCCATTAGGATTCGGTCATCGTCGAGCCCTTCCGAAACCGAACCCGTCTTCTCTCCCCTTTGGTGTTTGATAAATTTATTTTACTAAACTTCAAATTCTTTGTGATAATATATTATATTTGATAGAATTATATTTTAACATGTTTAAATGAGATTATTTGGATTAAGTGTTATTCAAACTATCATTTTAGGTGAAAATGCACTTTTTCGCCGTTCTGTTGTGCTTCGGTTTAGGCCATCAGAGACTGATTATTTGAAATTATGATCTTCATGTGAAATGTAGTATGTTCAGTTTCCTATATCTGGGCTTGGCGTTTCTTGATTCCGAGTTATATCGAATAAGTTATGATTTTTACAAGAATTTTGTGCGTTCAGTTTTTCCTATTACCCGGCAACATAGTTATATTTAATGTGTGGCCTGTTTATCATGTCTTAATGTGCTCGTATGAATTTATGCTCCTCATGAAAGTTGTATTTTTGTTTCTTACCTTTCAAATGAGATGAATATCATATTGATATGTACTCTGTAGCTCGAGTTGTATTCTTATGAAGTTAAACATGCATGAGGTAGGACTTGTTATTGTGGCAGAAACCTGATGTTAAATACTAACTGATTTTACCCTATCCAAATGATCTATTATGCTTTTGTGTTCTAAACGAAAGTTGTATAGGCATGTTTTAGGTTTAATTTGAGATTTGAACCATATCATTTGGAGGTCTATAGCTCGAGTTACATTATACAATCTGAGGTGTTGTCCATATCACATGTTAGTTTTTGACAGGTTTGCTGCATCAAATGTTTTGTGTTTAGACTCATTGATAATGTGATTATTTGCCAATATGACCTTCATCAAAGTTGTAGAAATTTGAGATATCTATCATGTGGTTTTTGAATATCATTGAAAGCATGTCTGTAACTCCAGTTAGCTAGCAATTACTGAGGTCTGGTCAATTCCTTTTTCCCTGTTTTGGACTGTGACTCGATTTTGAATGTTTACTGAGTTATCACCTGTTAAATGGCCTTATTTGCTTTCAATGTCTTCATGAGAATTGTAGATACACGTCTTAGGGTTCCAATGCAACTTGATTCATATTTATATGAGTTATGTGCTAATAGTTATGTCGGTTTTTAAAAAAACGCTGTCTGGGTTAAGTTTTCAAAACTTATGTAATATTTTCGAAAATGTGATTTCCTTGATTTCATGCATGCTTAAATGCTTACGTGAACTTAGTTGGACTAAGTAGTTGCCGAATAGTCTTTGATAGGGCTATTTTATTAAATGTAGGTGCTTGACGAGTCGAGCTCACCGCCTACCCTTATATTTTGTGTTTATCTCGATTATTACCATGTGGGTTCATTATGTTGAATCTACATTTATCGCACTCGTTATTTCGTATAAATATTTGTTGAGATAGCTTTTGTATGCGTGATAACCCTAGTCTAAGTGTCCTGACGGTAGTGCCTTTGACGAATGCATAATCAGTGGAGGTCACCTGCCCGTTGCATCCGGGAGGTGGACGCCCGAATCCGTGTAGAGCGGAGGGGTAATTCAACTCCATTGTCTCCTGGATAAAATCCTATGCCCGTTGCATCCGGGGTGGGAGTGTTTCCAGTTACATCCCCGCGGATGTCTGGTCGGGAGGTTTGTTGTATGTACATAGGAGGTTTGCGATAGGGCCTAATAGGGAGTTAGATCTGGATTCTATGCATACATTTTTTGTAGTTACAAAACTTTATGCGAAATATATTGTGCGGTCATGGTGAGTATGATGGTTGTACTCACTCCCATTTGATTTCTTGTACTCTTGTTCCTCTTCCTATCTTTTTAGGTTGAGCATGGTTGGCGGCGGCAGCGAGAGACGATCGATTGGTGGTCGTTGGTATTATTTGCCTTTGCTTTCGCTATTGCTATCTTGATGAACCTTGTGTATACTTTAAATAATTATGCTTCTGTTCCGATTTTATGAATATGTTGGATGAACTGTTTTGGACCATGATGAACCATTTGGTATCTCTTGTGACTTGAGTTGTTTGGTTTGAATTTTTATAACTGTTAGTTTTATTCATGTGTAGGTCCTTCGTATCTGTTTTAAATTGTTTATTTGTTTGGTAGTTAAGCAGCGCACGCTGATTATTAAAGTTTTAAATTGAGATTTTGCAAAAAATAAACTCTGATTTTTATAAATAAATTCGGTAAATTCCTTAAAATAAAACGGGGGGTTACACCTTGCCCCCGAATTCAGTCGGGAGATTCTCCGTGTCAAAATACGATCTCATCAGCTCCACACTCTCCTCCTTCTTTGGGTACACGAATTTCACCTTCTCAAAGGTTTTCAGGTCCACAAAGTACTTCAGAACCTGTAATATGGATTTCAGATTATATCGACACGCAAAAAAGAAAAACTTGCACGCCAGATTATAGTTGTCAATTTTATATATAGCCCCTTGTAATTTTTTGTTTAGCCCCATCTAATTTCGGGCTGGATATCTCAAGATTCAGGTCAAATTTATTCATTTGACAACAATGGTGGATAAGTGATGATCGTAGTGAGAGGGAATGAGACAATCCTTTATTGTCAAATGACAGTTATGCTATTATTAAATTTTTATCAATTAAGTTTATAATGTGGCTCAACACTCTAATGCCTTTTAAATTCTTAATGAGTTGATTTGACAAGTACCAAATGAGTTGGATAATTAAGCTTGACGCACACTTCTCCTGCGGGTTATTTTGGGTTTGTCTCATTGTACAGTTTATTAACAAGTTTCGTTCAGTTTTTGTTGAATTCGCCTCCAATAATTAATTTGGCCTCATTAAAAAAAAAAAAAAAAAAAACTCTTACAGAGTTGATTGCTAGCATGTTCGACTCTAGTTGTTTGATCGACAAGTTCGATTAGCTATTTGAGTTTGACTTGTTTAAATGTATAAACGAGTCGAGATTGAGTTATCACAATTCGAACCGAAATATGTTAATATATAACTCGGTTCTGGTCATGGCAAAACCAGTTCCGGGTTATAATCGCCATCCGGAACATATGCACTGGCCGGTTCATTGAGCTGTCGGTTCTTGGTCGCCCGTCTCATTAAAAGAAATAAATATAATTAAAAAATATTTAAAAAAAAAAAATAGTTGAACCTCTGGTTCCAGTTCCAGTTCGAAACTGAAACTGCCGATTCGAAATGCATAAACTATAAAATATTGAACATGAACTAGACTGGTCAAAATCAAGGGCCGGTTCAAGACCCATGGTCAACGGGCCGAACTGGCGGGCCGACCTGGCCCATGACCATGTCTACTCGGTTTCAATAATAGCTATAATAATAAACAACCCCAGGTTAAATTTTTTTTTGGCTACGCCCCTGCAATTAGTTTTGATGTTTAGTGTTGAGCACCCAACAAAAATCTTTTTATGGTGATGGAGTGCCTACGGTGTGCGAGCAGAAAACTACATCTCAGTGGTGAAAGCTTTTAACGAATTTGTAGGGAATTTGTATGATCTCCTAATTACCTGATTTGATTATATTGTCAATTTATCCAAAAATTACATAACCATATTTACAGTTATGGTGTAAATATATTTTTTTTATCTGATTTGATTTGATATTGCCAACTTTTAACAATGTTTTCAATTTTGAATAAGTGCAAATGTAATCAAGATATAAGATTCATAGTCAAATGGATTTTGCAGGCGGGGATAATTCAAATAAATTTAAAAACCCAATTGGATATGGTTTGAATTTAAAAATCAAATAACATAATTTGATACCAAAAAATATGGGTACAATTTTTAATGTATATTTGTCCGAATCTTATTTTTCAGAAAAAGAATGAAAAATGCATGTGGTTTAAAATAAATCTTTTAATGGAAAGTCAACCCAATTTTTTTTTTAATCAAAGTTTCTATTAAAGTATTTTTCCAACAACCTTTTTTATATTAGATAATCAACAACCTTTTTTATATTTGTATAGATTATCGGGCATGGAATTATTATTGGAGAATTCTACATTTCGATAGAATTTGTACTAGTCAAAACTCGTGACGCGTGAATTTTAAATTAAATATTTGAAGAAAAAATATATTTACGAAATAGACTTATATATGTAATCTTACATAAAATATAATTTTATGGAATAAAATAATTTTATAAATTCATTATTTTCCCCATCTTATTGGTCATTGTCCTCCTACTGCCACTGCCCATCGACCGATGCTTCCGGCTACCGCCCTCTGACGGTTGTCCTCCTACTGCCACTGCCCATTGATCGATGCTTCCGGCTATTGCCCTCTGACGGATTTAAAAAAATCACGCATTATAGTTTTAATATCTAGATTATCATCTTTGATCCGACCATCTCCCTTAATATAATTTCAAAACGTGCTGAGCCTAAATGGCTGGCTCGCACGCTTTGGAAGCTTACTTGGCAACACTACATGCTTCGGCTTTTGGTTCGGATAAAAATTAATACAATTATTTTCCAAAATAAATAGGTTCGGAAATAAAATACTTAATAAATAGGATTTGTTTCTTAATCCGATCCCCTCCAACTCCAAAATAAATAGGATTCTTATCTTATATGCCGTGTAGATAAGATTTTTTGCTTAAAATTATAATATTATAAAGTACTTAATAAATAAGATTTTTGCTTAATCTGATCCCCTCCAACTCTAAAATTAATAGGATTCTTATCTTATATGGCATGTACATAGGAGTTTTTGCTTAATATTATAATAAATTTTTGCTTAATCTTTGACCCGAAAACAAATCGGATTGCTTTTTCAATATTTTGGTCTTCCCCTTCACGCCGGTAAGGCCGCAGCCTCTCGCTCACCTCCCTCCGTCATCTTCCATTTGGCCTGCCTCCATCGTCTGCCACTCGGTCCGCCTGTCATCGGTCCGCCTCCGTCGTTGGCCTGTCTACGTTCGTCACTTTTAACTTTTGACGGTAAATAAATTACTTGATTTTTAATTTTGGTTTGTTGGATTTAATTTTTCCCCTTTTTTTTTTCTTCTTACCGTATATGGCGGTTTAGTGCTCCAAGTCACTGATGAATTATAGCTTTTATTTGGTGAATTTTCCACTTTTTAACTGAATTCATTTTTTCATGGGTTTTTAAAAGTTAAAGTCATCTCTTTTGTTTGATTAATTCGTTTTACGGAATTTTTAACTTTTGTTTGGTGAAAACATCTTTTATTTTAACTTAATAATATATTAGATTCTTACAGAATTTGCAGGAAATTCATTTTTTTGGGAGGGAGAAAAATTTAGTAGTTTTTCTCGGGCCGGCGGTCGGCTTCAACTCCATGATTTGAGGATTTCACTTCATCTGGATGGTGATTCATCGATGCCCTTTTCCTGAATTATTTTTCGCTCTTTATTTTTTCGATTTTCAAATGGATCCGTGGAAAATTGTCGGTCGTGTTCTATTTTTGCCTCTTCGTGTTGTAGTTTTCCAATTACGGTAACTGTATTTAGGAGTTGAATGATGGGTTTCCGATTTTCAGTTTTTGGGTCTGCCCATGTATCTATTTATTGTTTGTTTATTTGTTTGAGGTCGTGATTTTTTCTTTGCACTTTTATGTAGGGAACTGAAAATGGGGCAGGATAAGTTTTTGTTGGTCACGGATTTGATAGTCGTATCTGTAAGTGCAGTTTGTGATGCTGTTAAGGGGTTGAAGGAAGGAGTTGAAAATTTTGATCCCCTTGTCATTACTCAAGCTTCGTCCCAAAGTAATTCTTCTATCAGTTCTTCAATATACGTAGAAATATGCTTTGTTTTGTAGTAATTGGATCGCGTGGACTTGGTAGAGATGGTTTTTATTTGCGTTGATAATAAATAGGATTTTTTCTTAATCCAATCCCCTCTAACTCAAAAATAAATAGAATTCTTCTACGCAGTGTAAATAGGATCCCCTATTAATGTTGTGTACAAAGAAATTTTTTAAAATTTGAAATAATATCGAATTTGGTATTCTATTTTTGCACTTTTATATGACAACATGTGTTTTTTCTATTATTTTATGTTTTATATTTTTTTTCAAACAACCCATGTAGTACATACAAGTGTCGTACTAGTTGATTTTTTTTTAAAAAAATATGCTTGTAATTTATTTTTCTTAAAAATCTATTGTAGTATCAAACCGTCCGTTGGAGCTCTCAATCTCCAACAATAGATCAATGATTTTTTGATGGTTTTTTCTATGCGCTAATGTGAGTTTGAGACTTCAACTGTTAATTTCCGTTCACTCGGTCGTCCAAATTTAATACATGTGATTTTATTATTATTATTTTTTCTACATTAGCTACAAAAGTCCTTAATCAGTCTTATGTTTTTGAGTTCATATTTTTTGTTAATTGGAGTTCTATTTATTGTGGAATTTTTTTGCATTTTTTCTTCATTTTGGGTCAATTTTGCAATTTTTGGCAGNTCCTTCATTTTAGGTCAATTTTGCAATTTTTGGCAGCTTTAGTGAAACTTTTTTCGACGCATTTGTCCTGTTAGAATGAATTTCATATTTCATTTCTTCTTTAGTTTAAATTTAATACACATTATATTATAGTAAGGTATACCATATCCATATAATTGTATATTTCTTTAATATTCTTTCCTATTTTTATTATTTGTCATTTTGAGAAGTAACACGCTAATTAAAAAAAAAAATTCTTGCCAACATTAACACTATTTAATGGACGTTGGGAAACAATGGAGATGGAATATGAAGAGACACAGTGTATTAAATGTTGGGTTAAAAATGGAAAAATATGAGCAAAATAGCTAAAACGACATTTATTTAATCAATGATCAATTAAGCCAGAATGACAAATAATAAAAATAGGAGGGATTATAATTTAATAGTACAAACAAATATACATTTAGTACAAACGTATTTTTGTGTTTGTGCATTTATGCTAAAATAATGGTTAATATTGTAGGGATTGGTTCCAATGCATCCACTTATTTAAAGTGAGGACGTGAGACTCATTTTTAGCCACAAGATTTGGTACATCATGTGTGGCCAAGATTTACTCTTTTCTTTTTATTATTTTAAATATTATTTTGACCCGTTGACTCCGACGTTGACTTCCGTCGAAATCCGTTGACTTACGGCGTTGACCGTTGACCCACCTGTCCTGGCCCACGTCTGGCCCGCGAAGAGCCCGCGACATCAACTCCTTCAGCCCGCCAGCGGCCTAACACCTCACCAGGCCCAGCGAATGGCCCAGATGCCTGCAAACCAGACCATTATGCGCACTGCCAGCTCTAGTACGGCCCAGAAGCTGCCAGCTGTTGTAACACAAATTGTTATTTTTACCGAGTACCGAATCTAAAGATTCGATCTCCGGGTCGATCTCACGAGGAAGACAGTTCGGAATTTAGAAATGGTGTTGACAGCACACAGAAAGAATATAAAAACCTAAACACTCTAATCAGAAATGCGGAATATATTATCAACCAAGAAATCAACAGCAAACAAAAACGAACGTAAAATAAGAACTAGAAAGCGATAAAGAAGCTAGGGAATCAAGGATAATTAATTCAAGTTATTTTGAATTTTCGTAAAGTTAGGCGATTACTTGTTCAATTTAAGATTGACACTCTCGCTCAAATATCTAGCGGTTCGCTCCCGATGACTTTTCGAAACAAGGGATTGAACATAGACGAGTGAGTTCGAGCATACAACACTGGTCTAGAGGTCCGATTCCAATAACTCACGTAACAAGGAATGGGACATAGGCAAGCGCGTATTTCAATCCAGACCTATAGACTATTCAGTTACGAAATCGTCTATCTCGTGCGAACCTAGTTCTAAAACTTCTCCCCTTTCGGTTTTAAAAGTTGCTAATTAGACTAAAAGAGGATTAATCAACTAATCATTTAGAATCAACAAACCCTAACTCAACAATCAATATCCAATTATCACTAATTGCGAAATTGAAGTGTCACTCTTCAATTATATCAATCAATCAAGCATGGTTCATCAATCCCTAGTTCAAATAATTCGCACAAGAACGAGCAATTCAAAGCCCAACATCATGAATTAAACAAGAACGATCAATCCCCTATCCCTAGCAATTGGATTTAGCCAATCATAATAACTTCAACAAAATTAAATAATTTTCTCAAATCAACCATTCTTCATGAATTGAATAGGAGAGAAAAGCTTACAATAAATCCCAATTCAAGTGTTAATTATGCAGCACAAGCTTAATCCAATGATAAATAAAAATAAAAGAGAGAAAAGGAGAAGAAAATGTAAAAAATACGAAGAAGAAAGGGAGAAGAAAAAGTTTTTGGGAGTTTTTCGTCGTTTTCTCCCGACCTAGGGTTTTCACCCGGACAAAACATGTCTCAGGAGGAGTTTCGATCACATATATATAGGAAAATATCATTCCGCGTCGTGACATGGCCTCCGCGCCGTGAAAAATGGTTCTCCCGCGCCGTGGCGCGCGCCCCGCGCCGTGAGGAGCACTGATGCGGATGTGGCAAGGCAGCTTAAGAATGCCTCGAGCCGGGCCTATAATGTGCACAAGAGGTTAGCGCGGCAGGCGGGCGAGACGCAGGCAATCGCGTGCGGGGCATGCGAGGCCGACGAGGGGGACCTAACGGGCAAGAGCGCGCGGCTAGCGCTCGGGCAAAATGTGGCCGTGGAAAGTGAGGCGAGTGGCGCGGACGCGGGCGACGCGAGAGGCGCGCGCGAGGAGGCTTCGGGTAGCAAGGACGCACGCAAGGAGTCCGCTGGGCGCGAGGAATCGAGCGGGGCGCGCAGCGGGGAAGCACGCGCGGGGACGGGCGGCGCGGCCTTAATCCTCGAGGACTAAGGCAAGGCGCGCGAGACCCAAGGGCGGCGAATAAGCGGTTGGGATGTTTGGCTTGGAGTGCAAGTCAAGGCTTGTCAAGATCCCTTAGTTATTTGGTTTCCTTATTCCATTATGATTTCTAGATTGTTTAGGACTTTAATATTTTATTGCTTTAATTAGTGATTTAGTTCCTTAGGACTTTATTTATTTCCAAGCATTAGGAGTTCTTCTTAGATTAGGAATAGACTTAGTTTGGCATCTATAAATATGCCCCATTGTCATTCGAAAATATCATTCAGAAATTAATAGAAAAACCGAACTTTTGTTCAAACACTTTGCCTTAGATATCTTTTCGATTTCTTTTGCAATTTTATCGTTTCAAGGGGTGCGGTTGTGCAAACCTCGAGGCACCTATCGGCGATTCAAGGCACTGGTTTGTGGCTTATCGGCAATCGGGACACGCGATCTTCATCATTGGTGCTTTCATTGAGAGTATCTAGATCGTGTGTCTTTTTCTACCCCATTCCCTTTTCTTTTTCTTCTTCTTTATTTTCGTCCTCCCTATAAAAAAAAAAAAAAATCTTCAAAACGAGTCCTCGAAGTAAAGAACGAAAGCAAGGAAAGAAAGTTATGGCCAAAAAGGAGATGAAGGACAAGATCGGTAATCTTGACGCTCAAGTCCGAAGCATGAGCGAAGTCATGGACACTCTAGGCGAAGGGCTCGACACGACCAAGGCATCAGTTCGGGATCTAATGAAAACCGTGAACCGGGGGTTCAAGGAGATGGTGCGCGGCTTCCAACGCTTTGCGCGGCCACCTCCACGGCAGCCAAGGCGTGATCGACCCGAGGAGGAGGAACATCGGCCCGATGAGCGCGAGCACGAGGAGGACTTCGATCGGCGGTCACAAGCGTCTAACGCGCACGACCGCCCGAGGCTCGACAAACCGCGGCTCACGCTATCCACCTTCACCGCCACCGATCCCGAGGCATGGCTCAACCGGGCCGTGCAATACTATGAGCTCAACGAGACCGAGACCAATGACCGCATGCGATATGCGGCCTATTACCTAGATGGAGAGGCTAATGTCTGGTGGCAATGGCTCACAAACGTATACCGCAAACGGCAGCGAGTCATCAGGTGGGGAGATTTCGAGCGCGAGTTACTCACGCGTTTCGGGACTTCCAACTACCATAACTATGATGAGGCCCTTTCGCGCATACGCCAAACCGGCAGCCTGCGCGATTATTTGAAGGAGTTCGAAAATCTAGCGTGTCACGTCAGGGACTAGCCCGAGGCTGCATTGGTCGGGGTATTCATCGGCGGGCTTAAGTATGATCTAGCCGCAAAGGTTCGATTGGAGCGGCCCGAGTCGATGCATGCGGCCACGGCGCCGTGACGACCATCTCGCCGTTACTCGAAGGGGACGGGCGGACGCACGTTTCCCCGAGCCGCGACGTACAACGAAGGTCGCGCCGAGCATCAGGCCACCAAGCAGCACGCGACCGCCAAACCCGGAGATCAAGCGACTATCGCTCGAGGAGATAAGACGTCGACGTGAGAAGGGGCTATGTTTCAAATGCGAGGAAAAGTTCACCCCGGGACATCGATGTAAGCAAGCATTCGTGATAGACGTTATGGACATGGATGACGAGGAGCCCGAAGCTGAGGAGGGCGACGTAGAAGTTGAAGTGCTCAAGGATGAAGCCGAAATCTCGATGCATGCAATGGCGGGAACTCGAGGACCGAGGACGTTGCGGCTACCGGCATGGGTCAAGGACCTCCGCGTGGTCGTACTCGTGGACAATAGGTCATCCCACAATTTCATCAACACCATGCTGTCCCAAAAGCTAAACTTGTCCACCACCACGATCGAGCCATTTGAAGTCCGAGTAGCCAATGGTGAACGGTTAAGGTGCACCGAGTCCTATC